ATGTATAATTCTTTCCTATTGCCATTTCAAGTGAACCATGTCAATGTTTCTTATTGTTTAAATGTGTATACTTCATTTTCCAGAAATATCAACGTTACACATTGAAAGGATCAAAGGAAGAGAATCCGTGTCTTTGTAATTATTTAAGTGGAAGTGATTATGTTTATATTCACATGGTATTTGAACAAATTACAGACTTCTGATATTTAACAAACATTTGATAGCCTCTATATTTCTGTTCTTCAAAAAAATCCTTGCAAATATTATACAATTTGCAAATATAGTCATTGCATTTTCTTCCCTCTTTATTTCTCTTTTGAAAAGGAAAGAAAACATAGCTTCTCCCATGCCAAAAGATCCACATAATCTACCAGAAATCAAATTCCTTAATGGTAAGCTAATCTGTTCATATTTATAGCCTCTGTATTTTATATAGTGACTGGACATTACAGCAATAATATTAATTCAACTCAATTCTATACATAATAATAAAAATTATCCATGGCTTCCTAGCAGTAAAAAGAAAGTTCTAAAAATTAAACTGAGATACAAATGTTAATAATAGTGGTTGGTATTAAATGTATACTTAATCAAATACTATTTTTTTTCAGATCCACTTTAGAAAATAACTAATTAAAAGTCTACAAAGATTCTATTTTTTAAAAAAACTATTCTGTTTATTATCAGCCTAAAACTAAACCATATACTGCAACCTATGCTTTGGTTTGGTCACATAAAAAGAATTACGAGCATGCTCATTACTTTAAACCAACTGATTCTTGAGCAGAGAAACTATGCTAGAAAAATTAACACAATCTAAGATTTCAAAAGAGAAAAGCATAAAGACTGCAAGCTTTCTAGAAAAATAATACCATTTTAAGATTTTAACAGAATCCTATGATTTAACATTCTATACACACATTTTAAGTACATAATACATATAACAACATAAATCTTATATAACAGTTGTCATTACCTCACCAACTAGAATGTTAAATAACTGTGCAACAAGGTGAATATTGCCAATTCCATTTTATCGCTGATAAAACGAAGGCTTAGAAATATTAAATGATTTATTCATAAGTTCCTCTTGAGTAATCTTACCCACTTTTTGTGTTTATTTTAGGATAGCTTCATGAAAACAGAGCTCAAATAATTCAAATGGACAAGTTAAGAGACTTCAGTTAGCCTAAATCTGTCTCATCTCTCTTGCACTCTTAAAAACCACAAAAGTACAAATAAAATTTACACTGCATACAAACAAATGCACACCAAACTTACAGCAACTTCCTAACCAAACCAAGCCATATGCTGAGGATACACATTTTAGCTTTGAAAACAAAGGGCTAAAAAGGGATTTAAGAAAAAAAAACCACCACTTACAGTACATCCTAATAACTGTTACTGTGGAATGTATCATCAAGACTTCTATTGTAAATACCTCTAAATTAATGCCTCCAAAGCCTCTATTCCAGCTTTCATCCCACATAAGTTTCAGATTCAAATATGTGATTTGTCCTTTGTATCAACTTATTTACCAACACCTCCTCTCCCAGAAATCTGGCATCATAATTGATTCTCCTTTCTTTCTGCCCATTCACTAGCAAGGTCTACCTCTTTTCCCTTCTATATTTCTTTGAATACAACCACCACATCTGCTACTTCAGGCTCTCACAATCTCTGAAAAGCCATCTGATGCAGAAACCTTGAGTGTATTTCTCATCTACAAATCCACAGTACCATCAGTTATTCAAAATATACAACTGACCATGTCAGTCTTTTTCTTAAAAATCCTCTTGAGGTTGATTCTGTGGTACAGAAAGTCAAGTCTTTACCTGCATCCTATGTGAGTGCCAGTTTGAGTCCCATTGGCTTCATTTCTCATCCAGCTCTTTGCTAAATCACCTGGGAAAGCACTGGATTATGGTGCAATTGCTTGTGCTCCTGCACCTATGTGGGGAACCCAGAGAAGGTCTCAACTTCAGAAAGCCCTGCTCCTGTTTTTTTTTTTTTTTTGTGGCCATTTGGAGAGAGAACCAGCAGATGAAAGATCTCTCTCTGTTTTTCTCCCTTGCTATTAATTCTGCCTTTAAAATTTTAAAAAACAAAAACAAACAAAACCCACCAATAAGATAAATGACAAAATAAAAATCCTCTCAACAAACTCCAATAGAAGAAACTTAATTGTCTTAGCAAGGTGAACTAAATCCTTTAGTGCATTTTACCTAACATGTCTGTAGTACAGAAGCAAGTAATAAACACAAACTAGTAATAAACTGTACTGATGCTTTATTTACCAATTCCCTCTGCCTGACATATATCCTTCACTCATCTTTACCTGGATAACATATTTCTCAACATAGCTCTTCCCAAAACCTTTACTATAAATCCCATCTTCCAAGCCCTCAGAACATCTTGTGGCATGTTATCATAAATGAAAACATCCCTCTCCACTACAAGGATTTTATCTTTTAAAATATTTATTTACTTATTTGAATACCACAGAAAGAATACGAGACACAGACCTTCCAACCACTAGATCACTCCCCAAAAGGCCTCAACAACTAAGTCTAAGCCAGGCCAAAACAAATAACCAGAAACTCCATCCTGGTCTCCCCATGAATGGCAAAGGACCGACTGTCTACCTGCTGCCGCCTTCCCAGAATGGTTAGCAGGAAGCAGAATTAGAATCAGAGAAGGGACTCAAACTGCAATCCAATATGAGATGCTAAAACACACAGCAGCTTAACGCCATCCAACATGACAACATTTCTCACTGGAAAATCACAAATCCCATTCTTTCTTTATTATTAAATATCTAAGTTTAACACAATTTATCAAGTACACAGAAAGTATTCAAGCCTTAACAAAGGAAATGCAACTATCACAAATATCCTCTATTTGTTCTGTTGAAAATTAAATTTGAGTTTCACATTTTATAACGTCATAAATTAGATACTTCAAATAATGACCATTCAGTATCATATTTCAAAAGCAATTTTTAAGAAAGGGAGCAATTGAAAAAAAATTCAAAATCTATGGAAAATTAGAAAACCTCATAGTCACTTTCAATTATGAAAAAAATAAATTATGCAGTACCACAAAAACTAATTTTTAAAAAAGAAAACAAAGCTCTTCCAATAAGTAGAGGAGCTGACATTAATCATTCTATTCACCAAATTAAATTATATTACGGTGATGACATCAGATTGTTATCTACAAAACTAAAGAGGATCAAATATACAATCAACAATGAAAGTGTTGAACCCTTCCAAAAAAAGGTATAATCCAAATACGTAAAACCTCAGTGACTTAAAGAAACACAGGAACTTAAAGATACAGACAACAATGCATGAATCAACAAATTAAAGGTCATGAAAACAATACATGAACAAATGAGTTAATGAACTTCAAAGGACTTCTGAATGCAACCAAAACATAATTCAATTAGTCACGTTTGAAGTATTCCCAAATAATCAGAAGGACTAGCAACTGGCTAAATGAGGCCAGGTGCCCATAAATACCTTTGATAACAGAGCATCGTATTTATGATGGTGGAAAACAACACAATTCGAAAACTAATGGCCCGTAAACCACACTAAGTCACATGTCACCAACTATTCAGATACTAAGCAGGTAAGAAAAATTTTTTTAAATTCTCAAACAAAAATTCTACTTCTACATTTTCATACAGCGAGTTATCCTGGCTTCTTCCTCCAAAATTTCATCAGAATGCAAACGCAAACAAACACAAAATCTGGCTTTTTTTCATTATAGTCAATGGTGCGTTCTTGTCCATTCATCAATAATGTTTCAGCACGTTGCTATTTATGTTCATTTCCTTTTATAATACTGCACTTGCTTTTTAAGAATTGTCAATTACTTTTTTTTAAACATACAAACAAGTTTTCTTCTACTGGTAAATAAAGTCCTCTTGGGTTAAACTTCACAAGGAACAAAAATTGTACACTCAGAATGTCTACACAAGCAATGAAATAATCCTTTTCTATACCAAGTGCATTACATATATGCATTTCTTTGAATGCCTACAATATCGCTAGATGCTACTATTTAGACCGAAATTTTTTTCCCCTTACAAATATCTGATAAAAACAGGATCGGCCCTCGGAAGCGGTTTTCTAGAATTTCCACATTCCATTCATTTTCCTTCTGTGGACTACTAACGTTTTTTCAACATCATGTACAAAAATATCCACTAACTACGAAGAATACAAAATATTCTGCTTTGGCTGACATTGTGTTTCACCTTGAATCATACAAGCTTTTAGGAAAACTCTCAACGCACTGATAACCGGTTTTCTACATTTACAAGAAAAGTAGTCTTTCTACCTGACACTGGAATCAAGCAAGTGTTTATAGCAAAACACAAGTTCCTCTGCAGTCCTTGGCAGTTCTAACTTTACACAGTAACGTATGTTTTTACTCTTCTCTCTTCCACGGAAGGCTATTAGAAATCTTAAAAGAGTCAATCCCTTTATCCTAGAATGCTTCTCTTCAACTGTACGTCTTTTCTCACTAGCTCTATCAAAAACGTGATTATTTTCTTGGAAGATGCAGTACCTCCAGGGCTATAACTTGACAATGCGCGCCGATTCCTGGGTATGTTTTTTGCCTGTGTGGGAGAATCTTCCAGAAGGCTTTGGTCATTAAAAAAAAAAAAAAAAAAAAAAAAAAAAGAGGGGGGTGAGGGGAAAGCGTCGGCCATGTTGGTTTTTCTCTTCCGTGGAGATCTACTCAATCGGCCTATGAAACTTGAGACGCTTAGAGTCCGCAGCTGCGTCAGCCTCGGAGCAGGTTTCGCGTCTGTGAGAAGGGCGCGCTCTCGGGGCTCTAAGTGCCGGGAGACGGGCTGAGTGGCGCACCCTGGAGGTTCGGGCTCCTCTCGAGAGCCGGGGCTCCAGCAGGCGGGGTCCGCCTCCTGCGGAGAGACCCCCGCTCGGGTGCGGGAAGGGGCTGGGCGGTTCGGAGCCGGTACTTACCAGTGCGAGGCGTTGCCTGAATTCTCCTCTGTGGGTTTCAGGACGACCCTCTGTAGATGATTGCTCATTTTAGAAGAGAAGTTAGGGAACCACGCACATCCAAGAAAAAAGGGGAGAGTAAGGGCCGAGGCGGCTCTCGAAAGGAGGAGAACCACGGCGAGAGAACGTTGCGCTCAAGTTGCCGAGGAGGAACCCAGCGGGTTCGACGTGGAGCCGTGAGCGCCGAAAAGGAGCTCCGCGGTCCCCGGGGGCCGTGACTGCGATCCCGAGCCGGCCGCGGCGGGCGCCAGAGGCGGGTCCTCTAACGGCGCCGCCCCCCGGGAGGCCGACGAGGCCGCGTCCCACACGGCGCGCGCCCAGCTCTGCCGGCCCCGCCCACCCGGCCGCCAGCTCCGAACTGGCTCGGCGGAGCGGCTTCCGGCGGCGTCACGTCCGCTGGCGAAGGGACTGGCTGGCCGCAGCTCCGCCCTTTGTGACGCGATCCAATTGCTGGTGAGGTTTGTTCCTTCTCCTTCCGGATCAAGGAACGAATCGTGAAAGAAAGTTCTCAGGACTTCTACCGAAATGAAATGTTTCCGGGGTCAGCAGTAAATTCTCTGCCTTTGTGCCCGGGACCTGACCTGAGGCTCCCAGCGGCGAGCGTCACGCGCCAGTGACGACAGGAGCTCCACACGCCTGAGGCAGTGTATTCTAAATCGCTGCTTGAAGATATGCAAATCCTCGCCACTTTCTTCCTTTTATCTCAACAATCCTTGAGTAAACATTTATTTTGCTGTTTTCCGTACTTTATAAGGATGTATAGATAAAACCTTTTGAGAAGATTCCTACAGTTAAACCATCGAGAATTGGCTGCAGTATGTTGAAGGGGTGAAATCCTACTTAAACCTTACCTGGAAAATGGATATGAAGAAGTGGTTTTGAAGATTCAGTTCTATACGATATAGGCAGTTTCAGTGTAAATTGGCTCACGCTTTTCAAATTTTAGGTTGCTGACACAACGTAGCTAATTTAAAGGTTTCTGAGTCCTTAAAAAAATACGCGTTACTCACTACCCCATCTCTTTAATACGTTAATACTAATTAACGACTGTCATGTCCGAATACGATGGCAGGAAGAGACACTTCTAATTTGTTCTCTCCCTTCGTTAACGTTTACTGCCAACTGTACAAAATCCCACATCTATGACTTTTGTTTATCTTCCTAGTCAAATATCTCCCACACTAAAGAAGGAGCTGAGTGGGGACGCTTAATGCCGTCTTAGTGCGGGACAGCCTCCTTGTGTGTGAATACCAAAGGGCTCCAAATCATTACCCCTTCTCCCTGTTCTGTTTCGGCATTTGCTGTTCCTGTCTTACGTTTTGGCAGTCTAGTTTCTCATTTCATGCATCGCCAGTCTCGATTAAGAAGTTCTGTTTTGAGAACTCAGTTTTGAGTTTCCTGGGAAGCAGACTTTTTTGTTGCTGTTTGTCTGTTTAAGAGTATTTATTTATTTATTTACGTATATATGTATGTATTTTTAGAAAGGCAGATTTGCAAAGGGAAGGCAAGATTTAAAAAAAAAACAAAAAAAAAACTTCACTGTTTCAGTCCCCTCCTCAGATCTCCCATGTGGATGTAGGTTCGCAAGAACTAGGGGCATCGTCCGCAGATTCCCCAGGTTATTATCACAGACCTGCACGGGAAGTGGAACAGCCAGGATACAAACGGGTCTGTATAGGATGCCAGCCCTTGCAGGTAAAAGATTAGCCTGTTGAATAACTATCCAGTCCCGGAAGCAGACTCTTAAGGTAGACTTTGATATGAAGAAAAATTATTAGAAATAAGTTCCCATGGAGAGAGTTGCTCAAATTTTAATCACTGGCCTTAATTTTTTCAAACCTTTCTATTTCTCTATGTGATTTCATCCATTCTCTTGGCTTAAATTACTGACACTACCAGATATTGCTCTAATAATCTCATGGTGCCAGACACTGTTTACTGATACTAGGTCAGGGCCAGGTGTGGTGGCCTAGTGGCTAAAGTCCTCGCCTTGGAAGTGCCAGGATCCCATATGAGTGCCAGTTCTAATCCCGGTGGCCCCACTTCCCATCCAGCTCCCTGCTTGTGGCCTGGGAAGGCAGCCGAGGACAGCCCAAAGCTTTGGGACCCTGCACCCGCGTAGGAGACCTGGAGGAGGTTCCTGGCTCCTGGCTTCAGATCGGCATAGCATCGGCCGTTGTGCTCACTTGGGGAGTGAATCATAGGACAGAAGATCTTCCTCTCTGTCTCTCCTTCTCTCTGTACATCTGACTTTGCAATAAAAATTAAAAAAAAAATACTAGGTAGACCTGGAGCTCTGCATGCTGCAGCTGCCCTAGGGCGCACCTGCAGCTGCCCCGGCCATGGAGCCAAGCCCACAAGCTCTCACCTGGAGCCAGTGGCGGGAGACCTGGATGCAGATGTGGTGGTGCAGGGAGGGGCCCAGGGCTGGCAAGTGGCCCTGGCCACTGCCATGGCGGACAGCGGCCCCACTGGGTCGCAGTTTTGGCGGCTCCAGCTCCGGGGGCCTGGCAGCAGCAGCCCAAGGCCCAGCACGTACTTCCAGAGCCTCCCTGGGGTTGCGGACTATGGCCCAGGCAGAGCAAACAACAAGGGCCCTGGGAGGAGCCAAGGAAAGGTCAAGGTCAAGTACGACCATAAGGCCCTGGGGCTCAGCCTGGAGGAGTGGATCCTAGAGCAGCTCAAGTGCCTTTATGACTTCTGGGAAGAGGAAATCCCTGAGCTGAAGATCGAAATGGATGAGCTCCCAGACATGGAGAGTGAGGACCCCCCCCCCCCCCCCCCCCCCGCCAGGGTTAAAGAGTTGCTGTTTGTTACAAACCCACGGATGCTTTCATCTCTGGCCTGCTGGACAAGATCCGAGGCATGCAGAAGCTGAGCACACTCCAGAAGAAGTAAGGGTCCCTGAGCCTCGTGATGAACGATGGCTCCCACAGGACAATCACTGCCCCGGACCTCACTCGTAGCAACAGCAATACCCTGAGTTGAGGCTGGAGTGGAGTTTCCTGTCCCCCTGCCCCATGGGCCTCCTCCTGACCCCTCAGTTTTCTATTTTGAGTTTTTTTTTTTATTGTTATTAAGCTGATGGGACTTTTTGTGTGTTTATATTGATTCTGCGGTGCAGCCCTTCAGTCGAGTTAGGGTATGCCTTTGAAAAATAAACAAAAAAACAAAACAAAACAAAAATAAAAAGATGCTAGGTCATTTACTCGTAACAACTGAAAATCATGTGCATGTTAATAAAATGTCCAGAAAGGGTAAATAATTTTCCAGAGGTCATGTACCCTGTAAGTGTGGAGTCAGAGTTCAAGTACAGATTGTCTGAAGATTTCAACTTCTTGTGTTACGTTACTAATTGATTTAAATTAATGACCCCGATGCCTTTCTTTTTTTGCAATTGATACATTGATGTCCAAGTGAATTGTTGAGGACTCTTTTTGGAGATTTCAGGTGGATTTATTCAGGATGGAGCTCCAGCCCCCTGGCTTTGGCTCCACACTGACCACTGCAGTATTTTAGGGGATGAACCAGTGGAGATCTAGCTCTCTCTGTTTCTCATTCTCTGTTAATCTTCCCCTCAAGGACATTTTTCCAAATAGGAAAAGAATCTCCACTTCTAATCCAGCTTTTTCCTACTGTGCACGTTGGGCAGCAGCAGGTAATGTCTTGAGTAATTGCATCCCCATCACTCATATAAGAGGTTAATATAGAGTTCTTGGCTCCTGACTTGGGGTTGCTCTAGCCCCAGCTCTTGTGAGCCTATGAGGAGTGAATCAATGAATTTAAGATCTCTCTCTGCCTTCCAAATGAATGAGGAACAGGTTATTATTATTATTATTAATTATCTTGCATTATGTGACAGTTTCATAGGCTCTGGGATTCCCCCAACCCCTCCCGGCTCCCCCCCCCCGGGTGGATTCCTCCACCTTGCTGCAGTATTGTAGTTCAAATTCAGTCAAGATTCTTTCTTTGCAAACATATACCAAGCATAGAGTCCAGCATCTATTGTCCAGATAAGTTCAACGGTTTCTTGGGGATACCATCTCTGGTCTGAAGGCAGAGCTGGCAGAATATCATCCTGATCAATTGAAAGCCCCAAGACAACATCAACAACAATTTACAATATTATGGAATTAATTGACACGGTATTGAATAATCCATATGTTAAAACAATGAAAATGCAAATTCTTAACCACATCCTGTTACTACTTCATTGACATCTTAATTTTTGTTTATACACAGAACCAGCTGCTATACACCTTAAAGTGGCTATAGGGTACTATTCAGCTGTCTCGTGTCTATTTTCATTTTAGCATTTAGCTGCTTATTGTGTTGAAGCATAATTTTGCTCAACTTGGCAGATTTTAGGATAGTTTAAACTGAGTTATAAGTCTAACAAGTCATTTGTCAACAGTTGAGGTGCAGAACAATTTTAGGAGGGGTGTGCAGAGAAATCTTCAGTACCCTAGTGAGGGGTAACTAATCTTTGTGTTCTACCTAGAAAGGTATATGTGGATCCACGCTGACCATTTCCTGTCTGGTTCTAAGCTTTCCTTGTTGTTCTCTGTCTATCTATTCTAATTTTTTGGCGGGTGGGGGGCTCCAGAGCAACCCTGGTCATTGCAAGAGAGGGTGGGGATCCAAAGTTGAAACTAAGTAAGGACCAGAAAGAGCTCCTCTCCCTAGTCTCGAAGGAAGTTTACTGTTCTGTTTTGCAGACCGCTCAGGGCTCCTGGCTGTTGTTCCGATGGCCTTGGATCCTGCAAGGAAGGATTTGTACTTCTTGCATCCCATGTGGTAGATCGAAATGAGGGTGGGTTACCTCAGAATTCTCAGCCTCTGAAGACACTCCAATTCCACGTGGTCTTCTTGGCCGTTGGGATGTAGTCCTTGGTGCCCGTACTGATAGTCCTTGGTGAGGATCCAGGAGTCTCCAGGGTTGGGATACAAGGCTTCTCCTGTCCACCTGCTTCATCTGGGGTCTCCCCACCCCCCACCTGCTCTGTGTCAATATGACCTGTTAAGAGATTGTCAGGATCGCTCTTGATTCCCCCTCTATGTCTTTGTAGTTTTACTATTGTCTAATACTGATTCGAGTCTATTGTCTGTGAGTTACCTGTTATGTTCCCGATAGGTTATACTTAACGTGGAACAGGTTTTTTTAAATGTTTTATGGAAATGGATTTAAAAGTATGTTTTTGCCAAAAAAAGTTTAAAATCCATGCACATTTTTTCATTTTGCATT